TATAAGGCAAGTATGCATTCTGACTCACTGCATATGTTCAGATTCATGTATGTTTTTAGAACATTGCATATCTGTAACATAAATAACATACTGGTGCCCTGGAAGACACTGGCACCGATGGGAGGCCTTGGGGAGAGGCCTCACAGCATTTCACAGGGGACAGCATGGCCCTGGACCCATCTGGCAGAGCTGTGCCTGCTCTGCTCTTGTCTTCTTTGCTGTCTTCTTGCCTCCTCGGTTGCCTGTGACCCACGACACCAGGGCAGAAAGCCTGCGACAGTGTTTCTCAGTCCTGTCTCTGAGATGGCCAGCAGTGTGTGTGTTAGGCCAGGCAAAGGGTTACCTGTGCCCAGGGATCTGCAGAGGGCTCTTCCCCAGGTTATAGAGAAGCAGAACTGTGGCCCTGTGTCTGCTCTTTACTGCGAAGCCTGCCTGTCACTGTGTCACAGCACCCTCCCAAGGGAACTCTTTAGCAACTGAGGCAGACTTGCTGTGCTCTTAGTCCCACGAAGAACCAGGACTCTGTCTTCCTCTCCCTGCCTCGATCCTGAGCTCAGGGCAATTTGGAGCAGGAAGGGAGCAGACTGAAAGGGGAGAGGAGCCAGTTCCCCACTGGGCATCGGGTGTGCATCCTTGGCTGGCAGGCGGCCTGGGGTTGCAGACGTGTGGGACGTGCTATTTGCTGCAAACAAAGCTGGCTGGGGACCCAGCAGGTGTTGGAGTTTCCTGGGTCCTCACCCCCAAGAGATCTAGGCCAGTGTCTTCAGATGGACTCACCGCTCACCTGATTATAGTACACCTGCAGGGGGGCTGCTGTTGCTCAGGAAGGTGCTTTCCAGCAGGTGTGCCACGTGCTTACCACTGAGGTTTGTGTGACGCCAAGTAGGCAGATGGAGTCCCCAGCAGGGTGACTGTCAGCAAGGCAAGATGCAGTCCATAGAGCCCAGCACCCAGGAGGGTGAGGCCTGCACCTTCTGCCTGGCTGTCCAGCGTCACCATTCATGCCTACCCTGTGCCAGGAGGCATGGGGCATTTCCTGTCCTAAGAGGAAACTCTCCTCTCCTCTCCTCTCTTCTCCCATCCCATTCCCCATCCCCTTCCCTCCCCTCCCCTCTAAAGTCTTCTACTGTCCTGTTTAGCAGTCCCCCTTCCTCCCACAGTGAAATCCACCCTGTGTTGTCCCTGGTGCAGAATCTGCCTCCTTTGAGCTTTGGTTTTCTAAAGTCACTTCTGTCCTCATGGTGGCAGCATGGCCACTGCGTGACTGTGCCCTGGGTCCATGGATCAGGGAATGAGTGAGACTTGAGGCAAACCGGGGAGCCGTAGCAGCAGGTGCTGTGGGTGTGGGTGACTGGGCAGATGTAGCCCTTGGGCCTCATCACGCTGCTGCCCGGCCTCCAGAGCTGCTAACCTTATGCACAGCTGAATCCCCAGGGCAGCAGCGGCTTTCATGGCAAGGTTGCCAGGAGTGTTTGTTGAATGACTAGAAGAGTATCTGGTCAGGGTGGTGGGGCCCAGGACAGGCCGAGCATTCCTTACCCGAAATGCTTGGAACCGCACGTGTTTCAGAGTTTGGTTTGGGGGATTTAGAATCACAAGACGTTACTAGCTGAGCAGGAAACCCAGCCTCTGGAGGCGCCAGTGCCCAGGGTAGCAGGGTTACTCATGCTATGTTGCTGATGTCTGGAGCTCAGTGTGCAGGAAGAGGCCTGGAGAGGATGCTTGGCCCGTGAGGCCTCGGGCAGGCAGGAGCAGCACCCAGCCAGGGTGGCCGCTCTGGTGTTCTGTGCTGCGAGGACTTCCACCTTGTGCTTCCCCTCAGAAAGCTCTGATTTTTAATGGTCCACGTTTGAGCTCCGGTGAGCCCAGGCCCAGGGTCACGTCCTCCACAGATGCTTGAAGGCGGCCAGGACTGAGCAGCCTGAGTGCTGCTGAGTAAGCGAGTCATGGAGGAGCTGCAGACAGGGCGAGTGTGGTGGCTGCATGTAGCTCGGATGAGGGACCTGGCTGTTCTGTGTCTGGGTTTTCTCATCTGTGTAGTGGCCACATTACTGCCGAACTGGGGTTGACAGGACAGAGCAGGTGTGGTGAGGATGGTGACCTCGGGTGTGCTGGGCCAGGGCCGGCACCAGCACCATTGGCCACCAGGATCCCCCCGCCCCCATAGGTTAGGAGTAAGGATGTGGTGCCAGGGTCTGACCCTCTGCTCTGTCTTGCTGGCAGCTGGTTCTCCTGGAGAATGTAGCATCCAGGTCTCCAGCAGAGGGGTGCGTCTCTTCACCACCTCTGCCTCTGTGACACTCAAGGAGTGACAGGCCAGTAGTGACTTGGAGTGGCCTCAGGGGGACATGTTGCACTTTGTGGCCTATGTGTGGTCAGAGCCCAGGGTCTGGGTTCAGATCCTCCCACCTGCCATGGCTGTTTGTGCCACCAGGGTGGAAATTGGCACATGGGGGGTGTGGACATGTCGACTTGGGTCACTGTGACTCTTCTCGTGAAAGACATTATGGGCCACTTAAAGAGCCCCATTGAACACTGATGACCTCCAGGGGCCCACATGCAGATCCCATGAAGATGTGCATTTGGGTCTGATGGCTAACCATGAACTTGGGGTGTGTTGACGCTACAAAGGTAGTAGGCAGGGTCACTGACCTCGCAGTCACTGTCCCAGTGGGGCCAGGCCCCACTGGCACCATCCACCTTGCTGACCTCCACATCTGACCCCAGGCTCCGAGGAGTGCAGGACCAGGCTTGGTGAAGGGCATCCACAAAGTGAGACTGTGGTGTCAGGGACATCTCATGGGAAGGGAATAGGTGCGTTGCGACTCCTCGAGTAACCAGGACCTTGCTACTAGTCATGGTCACCAGCCCCTTCTGTTGGGAAGTTGCAAATTTTTACCTTTATTAGGCCACATTTGCAGTGCATAATGACCACATCCCTCATGAGAGTTGCAGGTGCACACATAACGTCTTAACCCTTTTCACCCCTCCTCTGCCCACCCTCCCTCTCTCTCTGTCTCTTGGTCCCCATTCTCTTTCAGAAGTTCTGTCTCTCTATCTCCGATTAAGATGAACATGTCTTCTGTTTCCATGAAGATCTGTGGGATATGGAAGGTGCAGTGGGGCTTTTCGTGGTCCTGGCCTTTGGCACCCCCCACCCCTTGCCCTCGGCCCACAGTCTCCATGTGCGGACCTCCCAGGCCCTGACTATGGACCTGCAGCGTGGTGATGTGACCGTGGGGTGGGGGCTGAGGCTCCACGGGCGTGGGAGTGGAAAGGGGAGCATCAGCTGGGGCAGGGGCTCTGGCTGCAGGCAGAGGAGGAGGGTGGAGATGGCTCTGGGGCTGGGCACAGGGCCAGCTCTGCGTGTGATCACTCGAACCTGCTGGGAGGAGGGCAAGCCTCCCTTTCCTGGCTTTGCTCCAGGAACCATCAGAGTGACTGCCAGTCTCTGCTCAGCAGCCCAGCCTCCAGCCAGGTGGTATCTCTGGGTCAGTGAGGGGAGGGTGTGCGCATGTGGAGAACCTCGGGGGGAGACCTTCCTGATGGTGGCAGCAAGGGCCTCATGGCAGGAGGAGGGGCTGCACTCAGCCCCCTGTCCCTGGAGCAAAGGGTGAAGAGGACACTACCGGTCTACTTCTTCATCAGAGGGCCCTGCGGCAGTGTGTGGGCTTAGCAGAGAAGGTGCTGCAGTGCCAGGTGACATGCAGTCCTCTTTTGGGCCCACTTAGCCCCCATTTCCCACCCCCTGGACTTGCTGGACTGTTGGTGCCTCACCCCATTTCCTTCTGAGTCTGATGCGGACAAGCTCAGAGGTGTGATAGCTCATGCTTCACATTTCCAGACTTGTGTTGACCTCCAAAGGGTGGCTGGCACTGCCTCAGCACTCCCAGCTTTGGAGCGTGGGGAGGAGAAGGAAGGGATCTAGCAGGTGCTCATCAAGCTAAGCATGGGACATCATTCAGCCCATTTGTGGCTGTCTGGCCCAGTGTCACAGTTTGTTCCTGACCACCCTATACACAATAGATAGTTCTTTTTCCTTTAATTCTTCTAAGTCTCTGCAGATTCCCCCATCAGGTGTGTGTTAGATTGAACCAGGCACACTTGAGGAGAGAGGGGCTGCACCAGACATCATGAATGTACACATCCTGCAGGGAAGAGGGTGCGGTTATGCCAGGGCTCATGGAGGGTGACCAGACCTACCGTCTCATAGTCTGGGGCACTGCCGGATGCCCCCCAACCTGAGGGTGCTTCCTCCTGTAGTGGTGTGGCTTACAGCCTGCCAGGAGCCGTACATGGGGCTATCCAGATGCTGATGTGGCCCTAGAGGCCTGGCTGAGTGGCCATCGGAGGGAGTCTGAAGCCCTCCTTGCTATCACATACCACCTGGACCAGGTGTTGTCAAAGGCTGGCTCAGCTGTGAAAGCAACTGCTGTCTGGCGAGGCAGGTAGAGGTGTGGGAGGAGTCTCAGCGCAGTCCTTGCTGGCTGGCTGCTGACTTCTGGGGACCCGGCTCAGGGCAGCCCTACATAGCTCACAAGAGCCACTAGTAGCCACCTCCCATGGAAAGAGTCTGGGGTCCCAGGCCTGGAGCACTGGGGAGGCCTCAGCTTCAGCCAGTGGGAATACTGCCTGGTGGCACGTGGGCAGCTGTCCTAGTGGGTGCAGCCAGCTGGACTGGCTGAAGCTCCCTTCTTGCCTCTTTGGACCCTGGTCTGATTCTGTGGGGCTGCAGGCCACCCCCAGATGCAATGGCAGGAGCTGGGGAGGGGGCCAGTATGGAAACCCCTCTGTCCTGTGAGCCCCATGCTCAGCAGCTCCCAGGGAAACCTCTGCTATGAGCCTGCTGCCTGTCCCACTGCCTGCTTGTGCAGGAAGCCAGGTGAGCAAGACCCCACCAGTGTGAATGCTGCTGGCTCCTAAGTGGGCTGCAGCAGGGGCGCTGAGCGAGCACAGCTAGCAGCAGCTACCTAGTGACGTCCCATCCCCTTCTCACTCAGCTCAACGACTCTGCCAAGCAGCTCATTGAGATGGACAAGCTGTGCCCAGCTGCTGCCGCGGCATCCAGCTGTACTGCTCCCTTGCCCTCGGACCCTGGCTTGGTGGCTGGCTCAGGCCCGGGCCCCTCAGTGGGCAGTTCAGGGGCTGTCAGTGCCTTTCAGCGGCGCATGGACAGTAAGAAGAATGCCAAGAAACGCCACTCCTTCACGGCGCTCAGTGTGACACACAAGTCCTCGCAGGCATCCACCCACCGGCACTCCATGGAGATCAGCGCCCCTGTGCTCATCAGCTCTAGTGACCCCCGAGCTGCAGCCCGAATTGGGGAGCTTTCAGGCCTGCCCTGCTCTGTGCCTGCCCAGGTAAGGTCCCAGCGCACAGTGTCCCTGGGATCGCAAGGCCATCCCTGGTTCTGTGCCCAGCGGTCCTGATCTTGGAGGAGCTGCACTGGGGAGCTCCCCTGCCTGCCCCCCCATGTCAGTGTCCTCTTCCATCTCCTGGGTGTCCTGGGCAAAGTCCCTGCTGACTGCAGGACACTCTGAGCCCATCTGCAAGGCTCATGAGTAACCCTTTAGAGCCAGAATTGACTGCACCACTCTGTTTCATCACGGCTGTTTGCACAAGTGCCTTCTGTTTCTAGACCCAATGCTGATTCCATGTTTGCTGGTTTCTTAGAAAAAGCCTGTCCCCGTGGGAAGTAAAGGGCAGAAGTTGCAGACCGAGGTCAGGCAGACGGGAGAGGGGCTCCTCGAGGTGGGTGGCGTGCTGCAGCTGTGCTCAGTGCCCATGGAGGGGCGGACGGGCCCCGCTGGGCAGGTGGAGGGGTCTCCCGAGCATGGCCCCTCCGCAGAGCTGAAGGGGCTGGACCTGTACACAAGTGCCTGTGGGTCCCCGTTCCTTTGAGGGCCTCTGCAGGCAGCTGTGTGTTTCTTCTGGGGCCATGGCTGACTGCCCTGGCACAGCATTGTCCTTCTGTGGCCATGTTAGGGAAAGCACCAGTGGCTGGGGGAGAATTGTCACTATTGAGAGTTAACTCAGCTAACTTTATGTAGAGAGATTGCCCTGGAAAGATAGAGTAGCTGAGCTGGGGAATTGCAGTTTTCTCTCAGTGTGGACTCAGCCTAAAAATGTCCCAACAATCGGGTACACACATGAGGGCACACACAGGCCTGTGCTCACACATCTGCCTGTGCACACATAGCCGTGCCCTCACCCCACACATGCACACCTGCTCATCAGCACCCACACACGCACATGTTGGCCTTCACCAGCAGTTGGCACTGTGCTCTGCAGTGGGGCTTCTGTGTGGTCTGCAGTGTTTAACTATGACCCTCAGGCTGCTGCCCCTGGACCCATGCTTCTCAGAGAGCTGTCCTTGGGCCACTGGCCTAGGCCCTCTGGGCTGGCCCTGCCTCTTTGGCTGTCATGGGTCATCTTGTGATCATATACTCTTGTGGGGGCACAGCCCACACCCTACTGTATGCACAGAGGCCAGCCTTCTCCAAGGCAGCCTTGTGTACCCTTTCCCAGGCTCCTAGGGGTGCTGTCATGGTGCTGCTAGACCTGGTGACATGCACCCTGGAGTGCTCCTCATACCTGTGCTGATGGGGACAATCAACAGCTATCTGTAGCAGGGTATGGCCCCAGGCCCGCGTCCTTCCCATCTCAGCCAGAGGAAGTCCTGCAGCCATTGGGAAGGCCCCCAAACCTTCCTTCTTGCCCTTTGGCCAGGCTCACCCCTTGCTGCTCTCTGGCTGGGCTGGGCTATGTCCAGGGCAGGGCCAGCCCTCTACATTCCCCTTTTGCCTGGGACATGGGCTCTGTGCAAGCAGATGCAAGGTCCCAAGTTCCTCTTCTGCTGACCCTCCTGCTGCCCAGGTTTCCATATGGGTACAGTAGGACCCCTTGCCTGCTCCACACGCTGTCTGCTGCACCATGTCCAAGGGGCAGGAAGAGACCTTGTTTCCATGTTCTGCAAGCACTTGATTAGCTTGTTCTACAGTAGGACTGGGATCCTGAGGTCTCTCTTCTACCCCTTCAGCCTGAAGTGAAAGTAGTGAGCAGGCCATAGATGTAGCTGAGATCCCGGCGCTGGGCGAGCCAGAGCCAATGTCCCTGCCCTAAGCAGTCCAGCTGCCCCGAGCAGGGGCTCTGAGGCCCATGGGAGCCCAGGGTATGCCATGAACTGGCCTGTCACATGTAGGGCACTGCAGGTCTGTCTGCGCTCAGAGACTGTCCTGAGGCTGCCCTGCTTCCTACCTTCCCACTGGCCACATGCTGGGCTTTCAAAGGAGGATAGGAAGAGAGAGGAGAGGAGGAGACTCCAGAGATGTGATGGGCAAGATAGCCTGACACAGTCACCTTCTGGGCCTCTAGAAATGGGCTTCAGAGGCTCTGTGAATGATAACACTGAAAAAGAAAAAAAAAGCCATTACAAAAAAATTTTTAAAGTAGCATTTGGGTGAGGTTACCTGAGGCCCAGGCCTGGTGATGAGAACTTAGGCAGACACAGAGGAGGGCTCTAGCTTTTGGGCCTGGAGCAGGCACATCCCACAAGGTCCAGCGCTGGGGAGCTGTGCGCTCTCTGGGGATTGTGGTCTCTCTCCTTGAGGAGAATTGGGGAACAACAGGTCAAGAAGAACACAAGGGCCAGGGATCAGCTACCTCTAGAGTGTCTGTCTCAGTGAGAGGTGGGCCTGAAGGGCCTCCCCTGCCCTGTGTGCCTCCCCTCTGAGGCCATCCTGCTGCCCTCAGTGCTGTCACACACAGGCCGTCACACATCACCCCCACCTGTACGACCCACCTGTGCAGGTTGGGTGAGCAGTGCCCTAGTGAACTTGGGGCCTCTCGCAGCGCTTCTGCCTGGAGGCAGGACAGCAGCTTGCCCCATATGATGAAAATGGTGCCTTCTGGGCAGAGGCAGGACGGAAATGCCTCTGCCTGACAGACACGGTCTCCTGCCTTCCCACCACCAGGCTGCCCGCAGCCCTTGTCCTAGGGAAAGCATGCAGACAAGAAGCTGGATAGGACCCCATCTGCGGTTCCGCCCAGGGCAGAAGCACTTGGTTCCAACTGGAAATGTGCAAAGCTGCCAGCAGGTGGGAGGCGGTCCGGTGGTTCCCTCCACAGACCTCACTTTCCCTCTGGGGTTTTGGGCTTCTCACTCCCTCAGCTGGAGGCTTGAAGGTGCTGCCCTCTCCTGCAACCTCATCGTTCTTCTTAATAATGTAGGGACATGCCTCAGTACACTGTTGGCCACAGCTAGGGCTCACGGTCCAAACCATTAGCTAAACTGAGTGTTTCACACCGTGTGGCCATATGCAGCCAAGAACAGTGAATGGGTAAATAAGGAGGTGGACTGCCAGTATTTAGGAGATGGGTAGGGCAGAAACAGGCTAGATCCGGCCCAGACCTTGGTGTCCTCACCTCAGGTCCTTCAGCTAACCTAGAGCTCTTGGAGGAGACCGTGTGGGCCACAGTACTGGCATCACCTCCATCCTAGGCTGTGAGGAGAAGTGCAGTTTCCTGGAGTGAAAAGAGAGTGAAGCCCCAAATGCCTCCTTCGGAAGCTTTCACTGGAAAGTGCATCTGAGAGGACAGGATTTGCTCGTGTGAATGGGAGTGGTCTTAAACTGAATGAAACTCTGAGTTCTGTGCCTCTTGGGGCAGCCGCAGTGCTTTCTGGGTGCACGTTAAAAATTAGAGCACACGGGTGCTTCTTCAGGGTCTTTGTCCACAGAGCCCCTGTGCTGCCGCCAGCTACATCCCCTCTTTCCCTCTTACGGATCCGAACACCACAGTGATGCTGCCCTGAGGCTGCCTGGGGGCCTCCCACAATGGTAGGACCTGACAGTTTGGGCATGGAATGGGGCCCAGGACTGTCATGAAGAAAAACCCTGCCCTTATGGGCGGCAACCTGAGATGTACCTGCTGAGCCACCGACCTCTGTCCGAGGGTGGGAAGGGGCTGGGGTGCTAGGAGATTGCTGAGCTCCACAGCCCCTGGAGCCCTGGGGCCCACCAAGGGCAGCACAGAGTCTTGTTTCTGTGCGCTGTGCTGAGTCCCCCTCGAGGGCACCGTGCTGGCCCCTCCTAGCCAGGCTTTTACACACTGCTTCAGAAGGATTCCGGTGGTTGTTTGGGCAGCAGCTCTGGCACTGCATTCTCTCCTGAGGAGCCAGCTGTTCATGACAGGCGTGTGCCTGGGTGGCCTGGCTGTGGCCCTTGGGGAGCCATGCGAGTGGAATGTGCTGTCTGGCCATACCGCAGCCAAAGGCCTTGCCTGTGCAAGGGCTGAAGGGCACAGTGCCATACTAAGTAGGTTGCTCTTGGTTGTGAAGCTGGGGCCCAGATTTCTGCCTGTGACCCTCAATCCTGTGATCCTGGAGCAGAACCCACTTGCTGCAAGGCTGGGGCCAATTTTTCTTCTTTCAGAGTGGCCGGGGTCCGTGCTTCCTCATTTTACCAGCAAGTCCTCACTAAGCCTTTGGGCCCAGGGTGGTATGAATGAAGCCGTTAGGATCCTAAGCAGAGCTAGGCTTGAGGCCAGGTTCTGAGCAGTCAGGGCCCAGGACACCAGATGCCCTGGTGTCGTGTGGACAAGTCTGATCCCTCATGCCCTCCTCTACTTCAGAGGCCTACGCCTTGCGGAGCGTCAATGCCTGGCACCAGTGGATGCTGCAGCATTTTCCCAACCTCCCCCAAAGCTCCCAGCAACACCCGTAGAGACTGCACAGAGAGAGCCAGGAAGAGAGGACACTTCCTCAACTTGAACACAGATTAAAAACAAATAAAATTGCCCCAAATCCCAACTCTCAAAGGACCAGTGCTATTGCTCGTACGTGGGTCTCCAGGCTTCTTGCCATAGAAACACACCTGTCACTTCTGGGAAGGCAGGTCCTGGCTCCCTTCCTTTCCCACAGCCCACCTGTCCTGAGCCAGCCCCAGCCTCCAGGCCTCCACCCTGGCACACGTAGGTATTTCAGCTATTCGGGTTTTCCTCACATAAATGGAGCCACAGTGCAGTCCCTGTTTGTGTTTCCATGCTGCTGGGTTGAGTGTTTACACGACCAGAGCAGATTGCTCTCCGCTCTGTCTCTACGGATCAGAGAGAAGCCCAAAGAGCAGAATGTGGGTGGTGTGGGACTTGCACTCGCTCGGCATCGTTACTTTCCTTGTACACTAGGCAGTGCCACCATCCTCCCCATACCTGGACCACAGCCCTCAGAACCCGAACTCCAGTGTCTCTGTGTGGTCAGGGCAGAAAGGAGGGGCCAGGAGACTGGTGTTGCTGAGGTGGGAGTGCTCCCAGTAGGCTTTATAGAACATGGGGGATTCTCACAGGGAACCAGAGAAGGGCAGTCCTGGAGACAGGGATGTAAAGGACCTGGAGGCAAGGTTCAGAATGAGAGAGGTCCTAGAGATGGGCTGGAAAGGGTGACCCCCTGAAGAGAGGGTTAGGAGCAAAGAAGTCGCTGGAGATGAGAGGGGATCTGGGAAGGGAGCAAGGCCATGGAGGCTGGACTGGGCAGGGAGGAGGTCCTGATATCAGGGGATGGGAAGGAAGTCCTGGTGTCTGGAGTGGGAGGGCAAAGGGTCCTGGAGATGGGGGAGGAAAAGGAGAGGGTCTTGGAGATGGGGGAGGGAAGAGAGGGGGTCCTTGTATGGCATGGGAAGGGAGGAAGTCCTAGAGATGAGGAAGGGGAGGAAGGGGGTCCTGGAAGTGGGGGTGGAAAGGGAGGGGGTCATGGAAGTGGGGGTGGGAAGAGAGAGGGTCCTGCAGATGGGGGTGGGAAGGGAGGAGGTCCTTATATGGTATAGGAAGGGAGGATGTCCTGGAGATGGAACAGGGAGGTCCTGGAGATGGAAGGGAGGGAGTCCTGGAGGTGGAGGTGGGACGGGAGGAGGTCCTTGTATGGTATGGGAAGGGAGTGAGTCCTACAATGGTTGCCTTGGAGACAGAGCTCTGTCCCTGTTGCTGGGCTCACTGCTATCTATCATGCTGAGCAGGAAGCAAGGAGGGTTCCTCTTTGGTGGAGATGGAAGGCTGTGTTGTGTGTTGGTCTTGGGGTACTATTCTTTATGCCTTGGGCAGAATGGACAGGTGACCTGGTGTTCATTAGTTACTTGATGTGCACCCAGTTTAACCCTTCACATCCCAGCACTTCTCTTCACATGACAGGACAGCTGCAGGGGTGGTCGGCAAGGGGACCGGCGGCCAGCACTGGCCCCATCAGCAGCGTCCTTGGCCATAGCCTGTGTCTCCAGGCTTGGTCCACCTGTCCTGTAAACATATGCCTGGACATGCACCATGGCCACATGTGTCCTGTGTGAGGAGGTGACCCCTCCTGTCTGCTAGTCTGGGGGAGGTGCTTCTCTGTGAACTCTGCCACCTGCAGCCAGCCACCAGCCCCTACTGTCACCTTGCTGGAAGCTCCTGAGAGTGCTGATTTTAAATAAGCTATATTCTGTAATGTGAAAGACTTCGTTTGATTTTCTTTGACAGAGATAAAGATACTTAACTTGCGTCTGAGACTAACCCAGGCCTTCTCCCTGCAGTCTGTAGGGTGCTGGGAAAGGTCATGTGAGTGCTCCCTGGGGGCAGGTGTCCTGCCTGCCAGCTCCTCCAGTGGGCTGAGACCTGATGTCAATGCCTCAGGAAGGGTGTGGCACCCTCTGCAGCCAGCCTGACCTGTCTCCCTCCTCACTCCTGTCTCCTCTTTTCTGTTTCCAGGACCCCTGCCTGGCTGGACCTGTCCCCACAGCTGTCCCTCGAGCCTCTGGAGTGGCTGGAGAGCAGGGCACATCTTCTAAAGTCCCGCTGCCCCTGAACGTGTGAGCGTCCCCTCTTGCCTGCCAGGTCTTCCTTCCGGCATCCCATGCACACATGGCAGTGCACATGTGGCCACATCTGGGGTGTCCAGGGGGTGACTGGCTGCTCAGTGCAGTCGTGTGCACCTGCAAGGCTGCCCAGAGCATAAAGCAAGCACAGACCTGGTCAGGTCTGTAAAGTCACAGTACCTGGGAGTAACTTTGCAGGGATGGCAGCTACCACACCCCACAGCAGGCCTTGAATCTGGGTCTTTGGTGGCCAGACAGCCGGTGGCCTCAGAGCTGGAGGCCACAACCAGTGCCACTGCACGGTCTGTCGAATGAGAACTCCTCAGGTCACTTATAGAAGGGAGGTGCTTATCTGGTTTAGAAAATCCCTACTAAATTACAAGTCTTAAGAGATATATACAGGCCAGGAGATAGCTCAGCGGTTCATCGTCAGCCTGGGAAGTGCAAGGTCCTGAGTTCGATTCCTGGTACTGCCCCCCCAAAAAAGGTGTAGGCGTAAGAGATACATGCCGCTTTAAAAGCCTCCATTTCTGTAGCGTCCTGAAGGATCAGGCCACCCCCCTTCTGTGCTGGCAGTGAGTAGTTTAGCGGGGGTGTGGGTGACTCAAGGAGGCACTTTCAACTTGGGCAGACAGAAGGCACTTTCAACTTGGCCCAGGTGCACCGACACTCACTCAGAACCTGTGTGCTTGCAGAGTGGAATGTATTTAGGGGGAAAGGCTCCCGAGAAAGCAACAACTGTGTGCCTGAGATTTCCGAGGGCTCTGTTGTGAGGACACCCTCAACAGGCTCCTGGGATGGCTGTGTGTCAGCCTTGTGGAGGGGTGCTCCAAGCACCTCCCTTTGCCTGCCTTACCTGTGGGTTCACCAACTCCATGAAAGAAAGCTGAGATTCCCCAGTTCTGCCTGGCTCCCGAAGGAACACGGACCAGTAAGCCGACTCCAGACGTCTTCAGGTTAAGCCTGAGCTCTCGCCAGCACTGGCGGTGAAGGCCCCAACATGCCCACGCGTTCGGCCTTTATGCAACAGCCATGGGGTGGGAGTAGTGCTGTGCTGAGCCTCACCGCACATACACACAGCCCTGAGGGCATCCCTGGAACAGAAAAATCCAAAACGTGGCACCAGCAAAATTTGAACTTCTGCCCCAAGCCCACATACATGAAGCAGTGTGCAGTGTCATTAGCCAACCAGAGATGGTTTAAAGCCGGTACCGATCTGTGTGAGGGACCCCACACCTGCAAGTCGTGGCCTTTAAACCTCCTCCTGGACCTGCTCCTGCGGCTTCACTGCAGCCAGGGACTGGAGACAAGTTAGGAAAGAGGCGCCCAGGAGGGCGTCCCAAGGAGGAGACCCATGTTGCCTGGAGTGGCCCCCATCTACTTACCCTCAGGAGAGCAGGGCACCGGCCGAGTGACTTCATCCTAGTCCCACATGCTGCACATGGACTCCCTGGCCCCTGCATGTCCATGTCAGCCCCAAGAGTCCTTCAGCCCTCAGGAGCTGGGGACACACGGGCATGCCTCCATGTCTTGAATGGCTCTTGACGTGGGGAAGGGTGGAGCGACCTCTTGGCCCCCCCCGAGCCCTCTGCTGCTGCCTGCATGTCTTGAATGGCTCTTGACGTGGGGAAGGGTGGAGCGACCTCTTGGCCCCCCCCGAGCCCTCTGCTGCTGCCTCCATGTCTTGAATGGCTCTTGACGTGGGGAGGGTGGGGCGACCTCTTGCCCCCCCCAGCCCTCTGCTGCTGCCTCCATGTCTTGAATGGCTCTTGACGTGGGGAGGGTGG